AAGCGCGGTCCCATGTCGTAGACACGCGAAAAATCGTATTGTCGCCTATGGGTTGAAGACTACCAACTGCTTCTGTTGAAGAGGAAACTTGAAAATGCAGTAGAATGTGATCATTTCTCTCAATGTCATAAATTTCTTCATGCTGAAGGCTGTGCGACGAAATGATAAGATTAGAGAAGTTTATGACATTCTTCTCTGAAAATCGCTAGCTCTTTGAATCAGTTTACTTAATCTACTGAGGAACGACTCTCGGAAAGAAATTACGAGGGAATCTTCTCACTGTGGCTTTTCACTATGGCGCCCTCTACCTTTTCCTTTGCCCTCTTTCGCCCTCTTTTGCATTCTTTCATAGCTGCTCACACGAACCCAGAAAGTGTTTATATTTATTTGGGTAATTTGTTGACTTGCATCCCCACTTGACATATGGGGGGAGGGAGGAACAAAGCGACCCAGGCTTACAAAATTTCAACAACTTGCGAGCACATGTGATAGTTCTCACAAAGTGATCAAAACAAAACAGCTTTTCGCAGTGTGCACAGCGAATAAAGAAAGATCTAGGGGATGTAGAGGGTGCCACAGTGAGAAAGCCACAAAGAGAAGAATCCCTCGTAACTTCTTTCAGAGAATCGTTCCGCAGATAACGAAAACGGATTTGAGCTCAGCGTCGCAAGACGCGTACATCGGACTACACCTCATTTCAAAGGCCGGACTGACCAAGTGACCATTCCGCGTTAGTCAAAAAAGAACGTTTGCCCTTTCTCCGTGCACATACGAGTTTTCAACTTTCGGAGGACCACAACTTTTTTCGAGTTTTGGGAAAAATGAAGCCCGTACGATGAACTGCTTGGTTTGGATTTGCTAAACAGCACTGCAAGTACCCAAGAACCATCCATCTGAAAGTAATCCGTTTTCATTTTTCCTCGACTTCTTCGATTCAAGTTAACGGTTCCTGGGATTTTAATGGTCACAAATCCCTAGCTACTTTCTTTCAAAGCAACAGATCGAGCAGGGTCCATACCCTCGATACTTTTGATGTGGAAAAGATTCGTTGGCGTACCACTGAACAAAAACTCACCTTGGAAAGCCGCTAAAAGGGATTTGATTCTGCCTGGTTTGAGTCCGCCCACTTGCTAGAGAGGGATCGACTGGACTGACCGGCTGTGAAGCCCTCGCGCGATTGCGCGTAAACTACTCTGCGTTTCAAAAAACGCCGCCTGCTTTTTGTATGGTTATACTTGCTTTAATCGTCTGATTATCGCATTCGTTGTTTGTATTGGTGCATCTGTATCAGCTTCATTTGCTGGCACAAAAGTCAGAATCATACGTGTCCCAAAAAACTGCAAAACTGGTGCCTCCCGGGACCTACGCAAAAGTTCCCTTCGCCTTCGAAAGCCCATCGGAAATGCTTTTTTTGTAAAAATTCTCTATCCAACGTCAAGAACTCGCCCCGTACTATTGCGCTTTCTTGGATTTCAACTCAGTCAAGAAATATCGGAATCCGTCTACAACAACAAATTCGGTGATGGCTGCTCAGACATGAAGCGCTCTCAACTCAAACGCCATGCGCCACACACGTGCCACGGCTTCAATTCGCGATGGTATTTGAAATTTCCCATCTTTTTGTTATGGCTCACTCGTCGATCGGTGAACTGGAAGAGATATCTTCTCGACTCTGACTGCAGCCCACTCCGATTAGCACCTAGCGCCCACCACGTGGTCCAAATACCACCATTCCGTGTACATGTACGTGTTTGACTTGTAACTGACGGTGTCTCTAGTTGCAAGCAAGCAGTGAAGCTTCGATTCGATGGCAACAACTTGCTCGTGCAGGGAACAAACACTGCAGTGAAATGGGTTGATCATCTCAATGCTCACCGCATTTAAAAGACGATGTTTATTGGTATCGTGGAATATTGTCTCGGCTACCTTTGTATCCATATTTGCTGTTGTCGTTCCAAACTCATTGTAAAGCGTTGCATCTGCATATCCCGGCATGTGAGGAAGAGCCGAAACTGCTAAATCTCGCTTAGCAAGCTTTTCGATATCATCATTCCATTCCTGTAAAAAAAACATGATTTGAATGACATATGACACTTTCACTGATGCACCCAGCTCTTGTAAATGGTTTGAAAACAGCACATGTTATTGTTCAATGCTTTGGAAAGTACGGCTTGCATTTACCTTCAAATTGGAATTCTGCTGAAGCTCAAATGCAAATGTTGGAGCTATGCATGCAAGACTGACGAAAGATACTGTATGTGTTCTTATCTGCCGTGCCATGAGTATTATCGATTGACGGTAAACTTCGGGATTCCCGGTCAAAATTTACCCTTTCCCTACAAAAATGCGGGGTTACGCAAGAGGGAAGCACGTACACAAACAGTACACAACAGTAACTCCACCCACAAGCTCAGTGCTATTTTTATAGCCTCTTTTGGAGAAGGAAACACTATTTTCGTCCTCGTTGACAAGTCCCCCCATATTTTTATTTCTGTTCACACTTCAGATATCCGCTGCTACAAGCGAAAAATTCATCAGTTTGATCTGGACTTTACCTCTCGAACCGGACTGCAAAACCAAAGGGGATGGATGAGCACAATATAGAATTGGTGACGGTGCCAATGTCACTGCATCGGTTCCGTCGCCCACCTATGTGTTTTACAAGAATAACCTACTAGATCTTTGCCATGGAGTTCGCCAAATTTTTTCATTGCCTCAAAAATAGTCCTCGCGCAGCACATCTTCGTTCCATCTAAAATGTCATTTTTCTTCATCATAATCACGACGAGGTGGATCCGCGTGTGTGGTAGATGTGATAAGAAATGTAAATTGGGTGATTAACCAACTCACCCACAAAGCAGAGGCATTCGTTGGCTGTTACTTTCGAGCACACTTTGGCGCCGACATTCGGCATGAGAATGCACACAACCAGGAGGACGAATAACATTTCGAACACCGTTAGTTCTAGCCGCCTTGCATTCTTTTTATGGAGCGAAACGGTGCACTCTGAGTGTTTACACATCTGCTTTGTTCGTACTGAATTCATCAATTGATTAGCCTGAAAAACTGCTTCCCATCACTCTGGACACCGTATTCTTCGTTGAACATCGTGCATCTACAGTGAGTACCAGAAGTATGTGTAAACCCTAAAATTCTTCCTTTTTCGAGGAACTATTAAATTCTGCACCATGAAATCGCCACCATTCTTTCCACCATTTCCATGCAGCTTTAAATTTTTTAAATTATTGGAACAGCTTTCTTCTGCTTCCCTGTATCAAAAGTATGTGGACACTTTTCAAAAAACAGAAATATCTTTAGAATCAAAGACTGGTAGGCCTACCAAAGATTCTGATAAGTTCAAACATTTTGTCGGCATGTTCTGAACCAGGCTCCCGATACCTGTTTCGTCGAACTCTTCCCAAGCAGCTAATTTCAGCAACTTGTTAGGTCACTTGGGGTACTACTTTTTCTTCAATGGCGCAGAAGCAGTGAACCACTATCCCCTACGTTTTCAATAAGGATGTGGTTTGAGGAATACGCCAGCACCCGAAACCCTCGCGCCCTCATTACAGTCCTAATGGTCTACCTGACATGCTGGCAATCCAAGCTCCAATTTTCCGCTTCTTTTGAAACCACCCCAGACAATTGATGAGCCTCCTCCGAAATGTCTCTTTGAGTACAGCTGCGGGTCACGACGAAGGTCCCTCCATTAGCAACGAGATCCACCCGAATAGCCAAAGATAAGCTTTTTCTCACCAGTCGAGGTTGTCTAGGGGAATTTTCCACAGAGCGTCTTTTATTCTTATCTTATAGTTTTCACAAAAGCGCTGTCTGTCCGGGTTCAACGTCCCATGTTGTGATCTTTTTTTGAACGGGAATTCCAACCTTGCCAATCTGTGCTGCGCATCCATACACGAAGCTTTCTTCATCTTCTCGTGTCGTGTGCTCACTCGATTGGATGGAACACCGAGTGGTCTTTTTATAAGAGGGAAGTCATTTAAGCGCGAACGCGGATAGCAGACCAAAGAAATTTTGAGACAGTACAGGCTATTCTTGTATTTTTGAACAAGTAACGATTGAAGACGACCCTCAATCAGTGTTGGGAGCTTAGCATAAGGATTCTGGATCTCTTTCCCAACAAACGAGGACGCACGACCGGGTTGACGTGCGATTTCGCATTGGAAGGTCCAGCAACATGAGGACCCCAATCTCTGCTTGGTCCTCTTTAGAAAAATGCCTGTTGTGAAGAGGAATAATGCCAGAATAAGTAACGAAAGAAAAAGTAAACATAGGTTAGAAAATTAGTGCAGAAAGTTGATCTGCCTCAGGGTGTCCACATACTTTTGGTACATGTACAGTAATGAGCTATCAGAAATGATTAATATGGTTACACATTTCTTCCTTATTGTTTTTACTTATTGCATTGCCCTCCGATTTCGTCGTTCTGATCACTACGCAGCAAATAAGCAACTTGTTTCCATTAAAATTTCAATTCCAGACAGCTGTAAGATATCATTTGTTTTACACTAGTGATACACTAGTGAGAAGACTGGTGAAATGATGATAGTGGATAAGTCGCGCCAGCACCGTTGGTCAGG